AAGTAGAATATATGCTTCCTATTATATGTTATGAATTTCAGGCTATATTTTAAACATAAAGTTAGTTTTTTCCTATTTAACCGTTATAAATGCCTTCTTCAGCTATAATAATGTAATCTTTCTTAAAGTAATCTTTCTTTTTTTGTAATCCTTCTTATCTTTCTTTCTTTCTATCTTTTCTGCAATCTTTCTCTCTCTCTTCTAATCTTTCTGCACTTGTCGATCGACTATCTTTACTGGCCAAGTAAATGAGAATAACCTGTGGAGCTTTGGAGCTAGGAATAATTGAAGCTATTTAATTTTAATATCAGCCTTCATTCGTCCTTCTACTAAATTAGTTTATAGCTTAAGCGTCCCGACAACTAATAACTGAAAATTATGTAGAAAAAAATGAGCAATAATCTAGTTTTGGCCATTCTTAGATCAAAATGATTAACAAGACAAGAAGATATTAGTTATGGGTTAGTTTGAAGATAATATATCAAATGATGCTAGGCAATCATAACCACTTTGCATATATCCTTTCCTTTGCCACTTTTTAGGTTGCTTTTGAAATTGTTGTGGATGAATTCATTTGCAGTTACGGATCATCATTAATTTGTATTGCACTAAGTTTGATTATCATCAGTGTTAATCACTAGCAATCATTCGAATTTCTAAAAGTCTTGACTGGATGAATGTTCATTCGACATTGTCTAATGCTAACATCATTAGAAGAGACACCATTATTTCTTGCAATCATTACTACCACGAAATTTCATCTTTCAAATCTAAATCTAATTTTGGAAATCGCGTTTGCAATTTTTTTTCCGTTTTCATTTATTTCCTCCTTTTTTAGCGCCCACTACTGATAGTGATTGAGCAGGGGGGAAATTTCCGCTTGCGCCTCTCTTTCAACCCACCTTTGATGTCTACCGCCGATACCGTTTTATCAGTTCCCTTTCTATCATCTTAGAACTAAGCCTCTCTGATGCTGCTAATAATATTAGTTATAATAATATTTAGCAGAAAGGCATCAGACTAGTATCATATTAAGTTATGCGAATTACTTTCAGTGTAGCGGAGGTCATTGGTTGATGTCATTTCTTTCTTGTGAGCTAAAGGCATCGCCATTTATTTTCTCTTTTCTACCTTTAAATTGGAAATTTCTAATCAATGTTTATTAATTATCAACAACGGCAGCATTCACAGCCAATGAAAATCACCCAATAATTTTTAATAACTCGTTTTCATCTCATTCATCAGCTGCCTTTTTTTTCCGTCATTTATTTAAATATTTTTATTAAAGATAATATCCTAACCAAAAAATATCAGAAAATACTTTGCCGCTATCATCTCATTATTTCATCAAAAAATTTTCTCCAAATTATTTTGCTATCTTCAAAAAGTCGCCGCCAATAGTGATGTATGTGGTTTCGAGTGTTTTATTGTTTACAGGTTTGATGGAAGCTCGTAAATTGTCTCCCTTAAATGTATCCCGAAGCCATTCAATTGGGAGAAGCATTTATGAATTAAAAAACGGAAAGGAAAAGGGAGAAAAGTAAAAATAATTCGTGTTGCGGCACTGGAAGGTGTCCGACTACTGAACTGTTGGGCTATTCTTCCATTGCACGCAGTATTTCGATGACCACAACTATCAACTATAAAATTTTAGATTTGAACTAGTCATCAAAAACTATATCTATTCTCAGTGCTTCTTTAGTTCTTGGAACAATTCTTCCTTTGTTCTATTACCTGATTTCATCCAGGTAACCGACATAACTTACTGTCATAATTATTTAGCAAATAAATAATGTCAAAGAGTGGTTTTTTTTTCTGACATATCTATGCAGATTTAGGCTATTAAACGCTCAATTGAGGTGAATACTTTTGCGCCATTTTCAGAATTTGCATTAAGTGATTCATGAAATAGAGTATTGTTGCTGAAAGATCGAAATTTGCATTTCATCTCAGATCTTTCCAACTTTTGAGTTCAACATCTGCTTTAATAATATGGAAATTTCCCTTCAGCAGACGAAAAATGTCTTTTAGAATGCGGGAGAGTGAAAAAGATGGCAAATTACCATCTCTCTCTCTCATTCCCTCCTTCCGTTATTGCATCCATTCCAGATTACACTCCAAAAGTACAGTCCTCTTACTAGTGCCAAGGTTGATTAGCTAGCCCGTTGATCATTTATTAGGAAAATGAAAAACGAAGAATACGACGGGAAGATTTTTCTTCTCATTAACAAACTAGCCCTGCTGATTTTGTATAATTTACGTAACAGTCATTGATCATTGCTTTTATCCCTCTTGATACTTCTTGCTTATTAACATCATGCATTAAGCGATGTTGCTGAAAACATCGAAACCGTCTGTCTGTCTATTGAATTGAAGGAGGAATAATTGCTTATCATTTCGTAGATTTCCATATCATAACGATATTTAAATTTCTTTTTCTGTCAAACTTAGGTTGCTCATTATGTCCACAGGAAGAATTATGCGATGCCGTCTTTCAATTTTAACTAAATATTAACTTATCAACTCTCTAAGGTCATTCCATGTGTTTATTTATGTTTTTGGTGCTGTGTACTTTTCACTAATAATTACTTGATAGCTCCTCAATTACTTTCATTTTATTCCTTCAGTTGCTATAGCAATAGCCTCAAAAATAATTATATTGTGTCATATCTTCATTCAACAATTTTCTTCAAAAAAAGGTTTTTAAAAATCATAGCATACTTGAAGAGAACTAAAAAAGGAATGCAATGATGCACGACAATGTAGCTGAGTGATCTCATAAGCAATTCTCTTTTCAGTACAAATTTGAAGCCTTCCAGTAATTTCAAAACTTGTAAAAAAGTTAGATATGTCGATCGATATCAAAGGCTTAATTTGAATTAAAATTGAAAAGTAATCTCGCGATAAATCTTGCTGTAGACAATTTCATTGCTATTTGTTCATATGTTAACATATAAAACACTATTCGTAACAAGCAAATTAAGTCTTAGAGAAAAAATTCATAAATAATTATGGAAGTGGAACCGACGAGATAATAGACAGTCGTACTTGTTTAGTTTAACCGACAGAATATTAGTTTCTTCGTTTTCCATAACATCTATATCATCATAACTGTAACTTCCAATCTACACTAACAAAACCATTTCGCTTGATTTACCAAGTATATAGCATTTGCTAAACAAATATTATGTTCCTCTTATGGTGCCCTCATAAGCGAAATTTGTTTTTGACACCTTTTGAGTTTGACCATCAGCTATGCATCAGCTTCGGCTGTTGCTTTCATAGCTGTAATTGACGTCTGATTTTTCAAAACTGTCAAACTTTTGACTGACGTCTGTAATCACTAAAATGAGGAAAGAAGTACTATTATCCAGATGCTTTCCTTGTCTGTTTCCTACTTCATTGCCATCACAATTTCTTATAATATTGCTTATAAATGATCTTTTTGGATGAGCAATTTTTCAACCCTGAAATATCATTTTTTAACTATCAAACAAATATAAATTTCTTGAAAAATTTGCTCCAAGTGGTCTTTTCTTAATAAATCCAAGCTCTTTCATTTACTTAGATACAAAGTTGTACTTTTAGAATTTGTAATTCTATTCCTTAAAACTATATTATAGTAGTGGCTCAATTTATATCTCAAACTCAATTTTCACACTTTAAACGGAAAGATTATGGAATGTATCAAACTCCACGGTGTCGAAACCTAACTTTAAATCCTGTAGAACTTTCTCGACATGATTGATATTGAAATATAAAGTATATTGAAAAAAATATATAAATTCCCACCATTTCCAGAATATTAAACATGCTGATAAATTTGGAAAATTCGGCAATACTTTTTTCGATCCTATAAATAGACCAATCACTCATATCGGTTAAAGCTCAGGTATTTATTTTGCTGTGCCTCCCCCAGAATCTCATTGATTGACAATCATTCGTAGTTAAAAATTATTTTAACTGACATTCAAATCGTTGTCCCGTTGATGGATCTCCTATTTCATATCCATCAGAGATACTACCCTTCTTCTAGAGCTTATCCTTTATCCTTTCTTCTTACATATCTTCAGGATAAACTTGTCTTGTTGGAAGGGTATGTTTTTTGTTGACCACTGATACGTTATAACTTTCAGTTGACTTTTTTCGACTTTATTTTTTTTTTTTGTCAATATCCTTCTCCAAGATTTTTTGATCCCCCTTTTCAAACATCCATTGAATTTCATTAAATTTCTTTTCATAGTTGAACGAAAGGGATTCTTTTCCCCTGCACTGATCTACTGTTCCAGAAAGAAAAAACTTTCCAGAAGAGAATCGGAATCAAAAAAGTAAGCTCGGAACGAAGAGAAACATGTTGCAGGAAAGAATAAGATTATGACTGATAACGTATAACATTACCGATTATATATCAATACATTACTTATCTTTAGTATCTTTCCGCTTCTCCACCACTTTCGGACCTATGTTCGCTTACTCTTATGCTTTCATTTTTTTCGGCATGCTTTCGAAAATTTTGAACCGAACACATCACCTGCCACTTTTGTATTTCCGGGTCATTTCTTTGGTTAAAAATATTCGGCTTTTGGAGTCCTTTTTTCTTCTTCTACTACACTTGTTATGAGTACATATCCATAATCCCTCTCCCTCTGTCTTCGTCTCTTATAACAATCAAACACCTGCTGTCATGCTATTAAATATGGATGACATCTTTCCACATATCCTTTCCAATTAAAAAAATATACTTTGTTTTTTCCTCGTGAATTTCAATTTTCTGAAAAAATTTCCCATCTATTTACATGACCGTGTTAAAAAGTCATTTTCCTTATTTACTGCTAGATTTCACTCCTGGAATATTCCCATATAATAGATGCTTGATCTAATAACTGAGTGAGTGAGACGAACAGTGATGGAAACTTTACTGTCTTTGAAAATATAAATTTGTCGGGGGAATAGTGGATGTATGCAGTACCAATCAACTAATTACAGATTTTGTATTTCAGATGAATTTGGAAGCATCCGGAGCTCCATCGACATCAGTGGAATTCATGAAAATGAAGAGCTCAAATTCGGATGCAAATATCGCATACGGTATGCAGCTAGCAAGTCTTCCAGAATCCGTGATTCATCAAGTTTTCTCACATTTAAGTCATCCGGAATTGCTGCGGGCCCAACGTGTCAACAGACAATTTTACAGATTGATCAAACGAAATGCCCATTTATTATGTCGACCGGAAGTAGTAGAAATGGGGTAAGCGTTGAGATTATATAATTTCTGAAACCCAGAAAAGAGAAGTTTTAAATAATTACAGCAAATTCTTACTTATTTTTCTTACTATCACTATTTTCATTCTCAATTTGGAACTTAATTTCATGAGGGTTATCCCGAATTTTCATGAGGGTTATCTCGAATATTTAGCCTAATACTTTTTCTGGTGTGGATTTGATGTTCTATGATGTGTTATCCACTAGATAGACTATCGGTGTTTAGTTTTATTTATCCACTAGGTAAACTATCGGCGTTTAGTTTTAAATAATGTCTTTTTAAGGATTAGTATGTGCGGCTATGAGAAACGAACGCGACCATTAGGGCGATTGCAAACATCGTTGGTTTTGAAAGCAAGCAGAAGAAGGCGATTGTTCGTGAAATTCACCAGGAAAACATCTTCTGTAGTGAAATGCCGGGAACTATTCAAAGATGAGGATTACACTGGTGGTCAGTTTTATCATATTATTATCAAACCAAGAGAATAAGGTTTGAATTTTTGTAAAGACTGGAAAGTTTATTGATTTCATTGATTGAAAAAGAATTATGCATTAAATTTCGTGAAAAAAAAAAAGAAAGAAATGGAAGAGATAAGACATCAGTAATATTAATAAAAGAATATGATTCTTTGATCGGTTGAATTATGAAAGTTTCATAGATCGCAACGATTTATCAGAAAATTTGCTGAGTTATCTGGATCAACAATTCAAGAAAACAAGCATCCATGGTATACTTTCGTTCTCAGGCATTGCCATCACTGCTGATCTATATAAGAGTTTGTGCAAAAGTTGGGTCAGAATTGAGTAAGTGCATATTCAGTTCAATGATTTTGCATAATTAATAAAAGTCAATAGTTTCAATTATTTTAATAGTAAGCAGCAAATAGAGTCACCCGATTATATAGCAGTTTGAATGCTTTCTTTTGTATTGGCAGAGTTTAGATGCTATTGAACACTGTCAACTTAGTGGAAGAAAGCTGTTCTTGAATTTTTTCATTTTCAAAGAATCCAAGTCTTTTTTATTCTGTTTCATCAGTTAATGAAATTCAGAATATTCTTAAAAGTGTTTAACAATGTACTAAATGATGAATGAATATTCAAATTTAACTGTATTGTACGATATTCTAAATGAAATCGAACAGTCTTGTAAGTATAAGATGGAAATGAAAAATGGGACAGTTAAAAAAAGACAATTGAAATTAAATGGTAAATTTTTAAAAAAAGGGTGACAAACATCGAAATTCAAATTAGGTCTATGTGTTATTAGATAAATATTTGCAGGTGTCTTTCTGAAGCAGCAGCTTATAAGAATCCTGTTTTATAAATTTAAAATACCTTCAAATACTGTGCTAGATTTGACCACAGCAAAACCGGCCTTGAGGTAAACGAAAAATGAAAATGTCGGATAGTAAGTTCACTACTGATGTTAATCATGATGATGGTTCTCCTTCCGGATTGAAACTACTGATTTGTAAATGAATTGGAGAATTTAATTACTGAAGAACTAAAGTGGTCCTTATCTTGCAGCTGTTTGAAAGCAATAAGAAGTTTAAACGCTCTAAATATTGCAAATTTTTCAAAAAAATCTTATGAAAATTCCAAAATGAATGTTAGTTTTTTGTCTCTCTCTCTCTTTCTCTTTCTCTCTCTCTCTCACTCTTCATTCAGCTAATGATGTAAATGATGTTCTCACAACAAATGCAACGTAAAGAAAGGAAACGAAATTGCGTACACAATGAAAGAGACAGGATGTGACGCGCTTGCTTCACTTCTCAAAAGCCGCTTATATAAAACGAAGCATTTCAAAAACTTTTCTTAATTAAAATTTTGAAAATGTATTTTTGGAAAGTTTCCTTTGCTGAATTTCAGCAATGCTACACGCTTAGTTTTCACACTATGTCGTTTTCGGTTACCATCAGAGTATTTGTGTGAGTTGCTGATACGTACACATTGTCAACGATTGACCATCGAACTTTCTCATTTCGAACAATGTCTTCTCGATGATTTGGTTAGTGCCAAATTTAATTAAATGTTTTAATTAACTTAACATTGCTTGTTGCATAAACTGAAAAAGAAGATAAATTCAAGATTTCAGCATCCCAAATTTACATTTCTGGTTGAAAATAGTTTCTTCTCGCATTTCTCAAACTATCATTTCGTTTACCCTTTTCCATCAAACAAAACGACTTATTTCAGTTTTAAAATTTCAATCATATGATTATATTCTGTTAGAAAAACCTTGACTTCATGGTCGTTTATCGATCAATATATGAAATACTCACAACCAAATACACTCTTAATTCATTCTTTCCAAAAGTTAATATACCCTTCTTTGTTCTTGCAGCAATTATCCATTCCAAATTTTAAATACAATAATCACCATATCAATATTTTCTTAATCTCTGAAAGCAGACTCCAATGTCAACTTAGACAGTCCATGCCATCCATGTTCTAAAACATCCTTCCACTTTACAACGATGTCAACTACGGAATGAATCTTTACATCCTTTATTGTTCCTCTAATTTGGATACTTGATTGTATCCTAAGAACTTTTAATTTCTTATAATTGATTTGATTACCAGTCTTATTAATTTTTATAATTCATTTTTTACACAGCTTATGAGGCTTATCCAAACTATGAGACCACTCATCGATTGAAATTTAAGTGACTGAATTTCAGATCTAACAGATTTCGAAAACTACCACGTTGTTTTTCTGAAAGTTGAAATTTCTTGAATTCCACAATTAATTGAGATATTTGGCGCTTACTGTACGCCATGTTATGCTTTAAGGTTTTGGAAGCAATGCCGGAGTGTCAGGAATTGATTCTGAGCAGTGCAACTCCAGTATATTTTTCCCGATTTACTGATAGCTCATTGCATCGATGGGCTGTTCAGGAGGAATTACCCAAAAAGATCCTTCTTCGCAATATCCGGGCTAATTTCACATTTGATGGAGTTATAACTTTGGTTAATGTATGTTTCTGTATCTCGACTTCCAAGTTTTCTCAATAAAAAGTCAGTAGATTGTAAACTAATCGCTTTGGTATACTTCCCATCGGTAGTGATTAATTCGTCTTTGTCTTCGGAGGACTTCAAACTGGGCGACAAATTAATTTTGAAATTCGAAATTTCATCGAAGAAATAAAATGGCTTCGAAAAAACCAAAATTACTCAACGTCGTCTCTTTTTAGGCATTACAAATTCGACATCCTGAATTATTTTCCAGTATAATTCAACCCACGGTACCTATTGTTTGCCGGAAAAAGACAGTATATGACTGGGATTTCGGCTGTATAGCGCTGCTGGAACAAAATCAAGGCAGCAGTATTGTTGAACTGTTGAGTACCCCAGGTGTGATCACGCATATTTCTCGTTCCTGCAACCTTGTAAATGCAATTGATGTGACAATTAATTCCAAAGATTTCTATTTAAGCACCACAAACTGTCAGGTTTCAATTAGGCTTCAAGTTGTTATTTCTTCTCAAAAAGATTTATAAACTCCGGGATGGATGAGGTTTTTTAAAGTCTTTCGAAGCGAGCACTGATGAGTTATTTTAAGTTAAGGATGAGGAAATTGCGGGGTTAAGTTAAAAATGCAGTTTCTTATGAGAACTCTGGTAGGTAGGTTAGCTTTCAGCATTTTTGAAAAATTATTTTATATTATTTGGAAACAATCATATTTTCCAGTAAGAAAAACGAAGGGTCTGTCGTTCAGTTTTAAATAAATTAATTTTTGCTCTCTGTTATCAAAAGACTAGGTGACTTCTTCCAGAATAGGTAGATTTTCGAAGGTTTCTCTTGCTAACAATTTCCCTTAAAAAACTCAACGAAGTGAAATTTTTAATTTGTAAAACTAACTAACGATAGACTTAATTGCATATTCACTACAGTAGTTATTAGAAAAATTTCATGGATTCGAGTTCTTCCCCACGACATTTTCCACTGTCTGTGATCGATGAGCAGTGTGCTTTTGAATTCAACCAGATAAAGTGTCGTTTTAAAATTGTATTTGCTGGAATAAGTATAATTTATTTGAATTAGTTGGATAAAAATTTTTCCTGATTTCCGCATGGGACAAAGTGTAAAGCAGTGACCGCAAATCCATTTTATGCAATACCGTAACGATTCTTCTGGAAAGATTACGTTATTGTAAAAATTTTCTGATAAATAGACTATTTTAATGAATTGTTTGTCATTGATTTGTGCAATTACCAAAAGTCAGATAACAATGTCGAAATGATAAAATGCATTGAACGAAATATTTGTCTGTTGACATGATGTGAGTCATCGTCAAAGCACATTGAAATTAGATCAGATGAAATTCAAGATATGACTTAGCTCTCTCACACTTTCTGTACAATGAGTATTTGCCAAAGTAGTGTCGGCTTTGAGTTTCGAAGAAAAGATAATCATTGAATGAAGCTTTGAGCTGAAAGCTGACAAAATCCATTTTTGCACTTGTATTTCCAGGTACAGAATTTCTTCAAAAGATTCTCTTAACTTGAATGTTTCTTTTTTCTGATTCGATTAATAGAAGACGATTCATTTAACAAAAAGAGCACAAAAGCAGACTAAAATAGGCCCATTTAGCTTTATATGTGCAGCGGCAGATGCTAAATATGCTTCACCTTTTTATTTTCAAACGCTTATCAATTCGTATATATCAACCGAAGATTCTCAGCACGATGATTATAATTTTGAATTCTTATTTGATGCGAGTGAGGATACAGGGAGCTGTGGGACTTGGAAAGTTGCTTGAAAGATTCAACGGGTAAAATCTTGATGACATTCGAAGTATTACTGTAACTTCGAAACTAACTTGTAGTAAGGAAGGACTAAAAGGATGAGAATAAACAAATTAAGGGTAAATCAGAGTGGTACTTCTAATTGTTTTTTTAGCTCTCCTTTTGATCAATAATACTACGAACTAGAAGGTTATTTCCAGTAATTTATTGTAGTTGACACTTTTGAAATATATTGCACTTTGATCCTGTGTATCAGCCTTTCGAAGTAAACGAGACATGTCCTATTTCAGGTGTTAATCATGAGTAATTTTATGAGTATTTTTACATCTTCTGCTTTGTCCATCTAAGTTACACAGCTAACATAAGCAAATCCAATTCTTCCGGAGAAAGTGAATTAACGCAATAAGGTGTTAAATGAGAACTGACCGTGATTTCCATTGCTAATATTTTGTCCTTTCCATTGGTTTATTTGTCCCGTACCTGCGGTCGATAGTTCGGTTCGAGTTGCTATCTACTCCTTTCCTCTACTCCCGAGACATTCATCTTTTATTGAGGCTCCGCAATAGGGTAATGAATTTTTTGGGAGAAATGGAAAGGGAAGACAGAATGAAAGGAATTAAAGAAGAACTTAAGGCACCTCCTTTCGATTGGAAACCCGAGAACCGGAAAGGAAATGAGACATGAGGGACAATGTGGAAATAGTTTGGAAGAAGGTGAGAGTGTGCTGACGATACAGACGAATAGGGTGGCGGATGGACTTGAAATGGGGAGAGAAGAGTAGTTGGGTATGAGGAAACATTGGGTTGTAGAATTCATCAAGGTTAGGTGGGAGGGAAGTAGGGGATATGGGTATTTGTCCGGATGCTCATCATGGACAATTAGCGAGTAGTTCTAGTCACATCACTGAGACCGCTATGGGCCATCCAGGCTTCAGTAATAGTAATTTCATGTCGGTCCGATAGGCAAAAAGAAGTTATGTGGATAACAGATAACTGAACCGAGAATAATTCTAGTCAGCAGGCATAAACATGCGGTGCTTTGTGCAGGGCATTTGTGAGAGAATTGGCTTTTGACTAGAGACACTTTAAGCACTTTGGGAGGTCAGGGGATGCGACATTTCTCCCCGTAATCTCGTTTATTAATTATCATTGCTCTCCCTTGATTGAGAATGAGATTCCAGTTATTGGAATAGTTTCATACTAAAGTGCTACTTTTTAGATCAAAATATGACAAAACTGCTGAAAAACGGAGATGAGTTCAATCAATTCGTCAGAATGACCGAGTTCGTTCCTTCATTTTCCAATATTTGTTTTACACTTACACCGACAACACGATACAATTAACAGACTTTTGAAGCACCTGTGAAATTTTATTTCATTTCTAACCATCTTGCGGACCGTACTTCATTGTTGCTGGAATGATATTGGTTGATTAATATCATCAGCTATATAGCTCATCTCAAACTTCCGAAGAATGGCAAGTTTGCAATGAACCACTAGCGATTAAGATACCCGTAATATAGGAGCCTTCAAATGATGTAAACCTTTTATAAACAATTTAGCGTATATTTCAGATATGCTCTGGTGCATTTCTCTGCAAAATGGTCGGAAATATGTGAGCAGCTCAACAATTTGTTATTGGAATTTAAAGACGAATTGAAATGTTTTGATTTTGCTGCAGTTGAAGCAGAAGATGTTGCTGAATTATCGGTTGCGAATAACATTGTTGTAGCTCCAACCATTCTTTTTTTCAAGGTTTCTAGTTTTTAGGAATTTGGATTTATTCATCAGTTATTTCATCACATGTATTGGATTTAATTGATTTCGAATAAAGGAGTTAATCGGAAAATAAAATATAGAGTTCAAAAAATTGTCCATATGTTGTTATTCTCAGCATAGATTGCAAATTATGATGATGCGGTTTCAATACCAGGTTTGCTGCACTTTTCATCACTTTCTCTTTATTCCATTTCCTTTTCTCACTGTTGTGACAAACAGAATATGCAACAGAATAGCCGTCGCTAAAGATGGAATTTTTATACGTTACTTCTTTTTAAAATAATTGTTTCAGAAAGGGAAAGAAGTTGATCGTTTACAAGGATTCGATCCGGGTGATTTAAGAATAAGAATCATCAAGCACAATTTTGTTGAAGGCGTTGCTAGCATGACGAAAAAATTAATTACTGATGAGGAAAATGTAAGTTTTTATTTGTGTTCCACCAGAAGTTGCCGTTTATCCTATATCTCTCAGTTTTTTGTGATGTGTGTAATAAAATTCTTTCAATTCATTTCAAAAGATAATCTATAACAGAAAATGAGGCAAAAACCTTTGTATGAATGAGAGGAAATACTTTCATGATGTCTTCTTACATTTCAGCACTCTTTTAGCTAATTTTTCCAGTTTATTTTGAGCATTTTATAATCGCTTTTTTTTTCAGAATATGAATAATAGGATGAAATCATTGGTCCTTCAATCTCCTCTCATGCTTTTTATAAAGGGAACACCAGATAACCCAAAATGTGGTTCGTTATAAGAAATTAATCTTTTGTGAAATTTGAGAAAATATTTCATGCTCAATGTTGTTTTTCTTCTTTTCCTAGAATTTCGGATCTTCGAAAAGGTCTTTAATTTTTAATTTAAAATTTATTTCAGGATTCAGCAGTCAAATTGTCAGTCTTTTACGTGAAGTTAATGCAGATTTTTCAAGTTTCGATGTACTGGAAGATGATGAGGCAAGATTTTTTATTGGACTGTAAAGGATCTTTTACCGAGTTTAGTTATTTTGTTTCAATTATCAATTTATTTTTTGTTATATGTTAAAGAAACGTCCTAAAAATTAAATGATCACAGACCACTTAATTTAAAAAAATTGCAGGTAAGGCAGGGGTTAAAAGAATATAGCCATTGGCCCACATTTCCACAGCTTTATTTGAATGGAGAACTTATTGGTGGCTTGGATATTCTCAGAGAAGAGTTAAATGACCCTGACTTTCGCAGTAAATTGCCGAAGTTGAAAGTGAGTCTGTGTTACAAATTCATTTCTGAAACCAATTTTTTTAGTGAGCTGTTTTCCTCTCTGTCGGTCTAAGAATGATAACTGTTATAATTCATCAACTGTTGTAATTCATAGTTTCAGAATAATAATGGAAGATTAAAGGCATTGATTAATCAGGCTCCTTTGATGCTTTTTATGAAAGGAAGTCCTGAAACACCTCAGTGCAGTAAGTTTTACTGTTTTGTAAGTGATTTACTCAGCAAATTGTCCTTGTTATATTTAGAAAAAGAATCAGTTGTGGTTTCAGTTTTCTCCTCATCTAATTTGCAGAATTCAGTAAAAAGATTATCAAGCTGTTGGATGAAGTTAATGCAACTTATTCATTTTTTGATATTCTGAAAGATGACGAGGTACGTTTTACTTTTGGTTATTTGGTTTTTCGTTATATTTCATGGAAAGAAAAAAAATCTTTCCTCGTTCTTCTTTTTTTGTGGTGACTTCAAAATTTTCAAAATTTTTATGTTCGATCAAGCATTGAAGACTCTCTTCATGAAAGAATTCTAAGTGTAATCCCTGTAGGTCTTTTTTCAGTAAAATAATTCCTTAATTGTAATAATCGTAAATTGGAAATTGAGTTAGGACAAGTTCACAATTCGACGATAGATTTTTGACTTATAGCCAAAGTTTAAGAAGTTATATGAACTCATCTGTTGACCGTCTCCATAGAGGGTCAACTAATATGTTTGATATGAAGCATAATAATCTTGCACCTAATAATTGTCATACTTTCTGTTATGATTTTTATAAATATAATAAATACTAAATACGGCATGGAGAATTTGTCGAATAATCTCTATTATCCATTAGTCTTAATTAGATACGGGAAGGATTGAAGAAGTATAGCAACTGGCCAACCTATCCGCAACTGTATTTGAATGGTGAATTGATCGGCGGTTTGGATGTGGTAACAGAGGAACTGAAAAATCCGAATTTTGTGGAGAAACTACCTAGAGAGAATTGATGAGCGTGGTTGATTAATTTCTTCTGTGTTAATATTGACCAACTGTTCTTGATCTTTTTTTTTTTGTATATTAATTGCTAATTAATAAACAGTTGCCATAACGTTCATTTTTTCGGGACAAAAGTTGTATTTCGACATTGTGCATTTTTCTTTTTAGTGAATCTTATATCTTCTTACTGATTATAGATAGACAAACATCTCCAATTATTGTCCCCTTTATGAATTCATTACCTCGAAAATTTTGGTCTTTCAGAGGTATATTTCCACGAAACATGGAAAGATTCTCAATACTTTTTTCGACGTTTATATCTACAGAACTTTTCGTTCTTGTTGTAAAGGCCATGTGAATTGAGCAGTACTTGTGGTTCAAATTTTACATTACCTTTCGTACAGTAGTCCTAAATCATTTGATCGAACTTATCAAAGTTTTCGCAGGCAGTTGGTAATTTTATCTAGGATGTGTCTGGTAAACCGTGTTGTCCGCGTAATTTTATCCCGGATTTGCTATATACCTTGTATGTGGTAACAGATTTGATCTGCAGTAACTATTAATTACAACAATATCTGGGAGATTGTCGTCCTAATATGTAAGCAGAAGTTTTTATTATACAAGATTAAGTTAAACGATTGATGAACAATTTATTAATAAACTTCGTATAACTTATCAGGAGTACTTATAATGATAGGTCACAGAAAGCAATTGTGTTTGTTCATCGTTGTAAACTGAGACATCGTAAGAACATTGCGTGTGCTTGGGATTTGTTGCAATTCTCCGTTTCCTGGGAATGTTTCCAAGTTTGGCATTGTAATACTTTGTTCTTCCATATCCTGAGTGATTGGCTTTCGGAGTAAACTCTCCATAAATTTGGCATTATTTACAACATGTCAAGTATCGATATTTCAAATATACCAGGACTTCACCCGGAAATTTCATTAACCGTATGACGTGATTTCTCCCTAATCATACATTTTTCATGTTTTCGTATAGTTTCCTTTTTCTAAGCAGTATAAACAATGATTTCAATTACAAATAATCCTTTGCTTTTTACATTTGAAGCATAAAATCTACCAGCATTTGTTGGCATGTTGACAACTGGAATGAATTGAGCGGATTTTTGATCTGCAAAAGAAATTTCATATATTGGAATTGATGCATTAAGCAAATGATTCAAGAATTTTGCTAAAATATTTCATATATTGTGGTTTTTGTACATTTGAATTAGCTACTTTTCCTCATAAATTTGTTGTAAGGAAATGCGACGTTGAAATGGGAAGGTCGAATTACTTCTTACTTCAAAAACAGAAAACTTTAAAGCAATGTGTCTAACCTGAAATAGTCTATATGAAACGATGATTTCGACTACTTATATTCTTCGTTTTGATTAGGTTAAGTAAGCTATAACCGTCTGCGTTGTTTCGCCACATCAAAAGTACAACAAATTTAATTAAAGTCTAGTAAAATTCTCAACAAACCATTTTGATGTTCTGTTCTTTTGCTATGGGGCTGAGATTGATGGCATTTGGAACATTTATAATACTATTTACTGGAGCAACTGTTTGTGCGATTGCATTCCGTAATTTCGAATTCAATAGCTTCTTTCTGGATAATGGTGGCATCAGTCTGAATGAGAAGTTTGCATAAGAACATTTCTTGGAGGTATGTAAATTCACGAAAGAAATTGCTGAAAGAGACCTGTTATTTCTTAGACTGATATCTACGTTTTTTTCGAAGATTAAAACTGCAATTTTCATACCTGGCAGTGCTTTATCGATGATTGCGACACATGAATCAATCAGCTACTCTCGATGCATTCGTCATCGAAAGATGACGAAGACGGTGATTTTTTTAATTAATATTAATTTGCATTTTGATGTCAATTAACCAAAATCAAAAAATTGTAAGTTGTAATATGATTTTAATTCAATCTGCTTTAATGGTTATGCAAATTTTGCACTCCATATACAATCATATTTTTATTATAAATCCTTTTAAAGGCTTCTCAAATAGTTTCTTATTTAGCTGTTGCCGAAGATTTTAAAAATTAAAAATTCTTAAATTCATGTGAAAATCTTAGGATTTATTTCTAAGAATTTAGAATGGTCGAAAACTAACCCAGTTCTAAATAACAATTTATGCTTAGTCTTATAACTATTCCGTGGTAGCAAGTTACTGGTTCGACGTCTTGGCTTAGCGCTAATGGTATTATCAGCTGGTGGAAAGTGAACATTCAGCAGCGGACATGGATGCTGTTGAAAGGGTTGTATTGAAGCAGGTATCGTTGGTAAGACGTGTTTTGGTAATTGAGTCGATGTCAAAAACTGAACTGATTCTGGTTGTGAGAAGGGATTGTACAGATTCGTAAAATATGTATGATTCTCTGCAGACGTTGAAATATTAGGAAAGCATAACATTGGTCCAAATCGTACTGGAGACTGGAAACCAATTGTCGGTTGTTGAAATCCCATGATCGAGATTGGTGATTGTGTAAGATGATTAGTTCGAGGTAAACAAGGTCTGATGCTCTGAGTTACTTTCTCGCTTTGGATACTGATATCAAGATTTTTTGCTTTTTCGATATGAGATGGAAGATTTGTGTCATCCCAGAATTCTTGGATTCGTTTCACTGCAGTAATCGTATTCTTTATTTTCGGCTTGTGGGAGGCATTATTTCTGTACTGATCCTTTAACTTATTCGCTTTCTGTTGTAATATTCCATTCATAGATCGGAATCCGCAATTTTTATTTATCTCAACTGAACTTGCGGAATTGACTTTGCCAGGAAGATTACTTGTCGGATTTTGATCATTGTTTTTCATTTGTACTTCTGCTGTTTCTTGAGGACAACTTACCAAAATGATATCTTCATCTGTTTCTATTTCACTTGAACTTTTATCCTGACGAGTTTTAAAAGAGTTTCGAGGCTTCTGGAAGGCCGTTAACTCTGGCTTCCTGAATTGACCACTGTTTTCCCATGTATCGCACAACTGTCCCAATGGTTCCAATTTCTTCTCTTCTGCAGAATTCACTGGACATGTCCTTTCATCAGTTTGCTCTTTTTCTTTCTTATTTTGATTATTATTTGTAATCAGTTGATAAATCTGGAGAGTTTCTTTTGCCGTTTTGCAGCTAACAGATTCTTGAATTTCATCAGCAACTTTTAAATATCCACTTCTACCATTAGCAATATTGACGATACTGTTGCTATTGTTGAGCTTACTTTCTTCGTTTTCTTGCAAAGTTTGAATTGTAGTTTGACGCTTCCACTGAATTTCGTTCAGTTTTGAGTAAACAGAATCAGTGTCCGCTTTCAGTGTAATAATTTCATTATCAATTGCTGTCGTGTTGCTCACTGCTGACGAAGATACGGATATATCGTCTTCTCGATCACTGATCATTCTGAAATTTTGTGCTACTGGCAGATAAAACGTGTTAGTGAATTGATCTTGTCCATCCGACAGGCTCTGAAGTTTTTTTGGGACTGGTCTTTCGATGTGGTTATTTCCAGCAGTTCCAGCGAAAATAACTTCTTTTCCTTCTGTCATGTTTGAAATCGATCCAGGTTCCCTAATGACCTGCGACGCCAGTAAATGAGAGGTTGCGGATGATATGAGGGGTTTCATCACAACCGATGAATCGCTGAGGAAGTGCAACTTAGGACTGCTGTGACTTATTTCAGGATTAGGTTCGTGACATTCTAGAAATCTCGTTAATCCCAGTAGGGAGGTATTCAGCGCATCTGAAAGATTGTGTTCTTTCAGATGCGACGAAATTCTTGATATCTGTTGGGAGCGATACAAATTATTTTCACCGGACGATAGACTCCGATTCACGTACGGATGTGAATCCGATTGAATTTGTGGTGCTATAAAATATGGTTTATATGGTAAGTTCGCGCTATCTTGATCCATTAATGACAATAAATTGTGGGTTTTTTTCTTTGAAATTTGCAATCACCTGGAAACTATGTTCTTTAGTATCTTTAAAATTCTTAGCAATTCAGTTCGAAAGCGCTACTGCATCAGAAATGTGTCAAACATTCGAAGTCATTATCTGATGATCTCTCAGAACATTTATACTAATAAATCACATACATGCTAAAATACTTTTTGATGTATGGTTGAATTTCGTATCGCAACAACTAGCAACGTTACATCGTTACGGTTATGGTTAGAAGGCATCAACAAATATATCTTTTACTGAAGCTTTTCATTTAACAACAGATAATAAGAAATTTCTCATATACTTATCAAGGAAATTAAACCATATAATCTTAACGAAAATTCTGTGAGAAAATTTCGAAGTTAATGCGAAACTCGAATTACAAACGAATTGTTAGCTTTAATGCATTTTCTAGGAGATCAAAAATTTCAAAATCATATAGAATCTTAAACACTTTTTACCAGGTAGATAAGTTCCGAAAGTCATATTGAATAGTAAAGATGAATGAGAATTTAAAATTAAAGTTTTCAAGTTTAGTAAACTTGTTTGCAGGATGAAAGAGTAAATGTAATCGGAAAATGGAAAATCCAAGAAGTGAGCTCTTGAGTGAGAAAAACTGACAAATACAGCATCCAATGACAAATTTGATTTTTTTTTGTATTTTTTTTTTAAAAAATTTAGGATTTTATTATTATCGTTTCTGGGAAAAAACCATTTCCAGAAAGCAGGACTTGTATTACAAATTATATAAAGTTAATCTTTGGTTGCGGTTTGAGTCAAATACAAGGGAAATTAAAATTTCTAAAGTTTTCCAATACAGTCACTGAATAAATTAATGGAATTATCACTTGATCACTAACTTTTCACTATTTTGCAGTCAAGTATTTGTCAGAAATTTTGAATGGAATTCGGTGGGATTAAAATTTGAAATGGCCGGACAAATGTCTCGAAACAAATAACTTTGGAATATTTGCTACCGAGGATGTCATCGATGTTTGAACGATATTCTTAAACCATGAAGATCCTAATAATTGCTATAATACTTTTATCAGTGGTAGTTATTTCTGTACTACTAGCAGTGAATACCTATTGAATAATTCACATCATTTAAAACCAAAGACAAAAATAATGTGCTAGGGTACAGTTTCATTTTTCTATGCGATTTTGTTACTTGGAGAAAGTAGTTAGCTAATAAATCTGTTGCAACTAATGGATTGATATTAAATAAATATGGTACCAAGGAGATATCAAATGTGTAAGCTTATTTTTCTTACTTCTTCGAAATGAACCTTTTTGTTTTGAGAGTCTCGTTATTTTTCTTTAATCAAGGAAAGCTAAGACAACAATTTACGATATAAATATTTCTAAATTTCGATCCAAAATTATTGCTGTATTCAGAGATATGGAACCGGAAACAGTGAGCGATAACGAACAAGCGGTAATCAACAAACCTGTAGTCCTATTTTTATTTGATCATTTGAAATAAATAAAAAAAAAAATAAATCGGTAGTAAGCCGTTTTGCAACCATTCAAATATTTTGGAAGGAAAAAATCATTTAGTTTGATTTTTACACCGACAGATTAAAAGCTCGTGTCGACACCCATCATAAATAACATTGAAAATTAGTTCAAAACATTGAATTAATCTATGATACAACGATGCAAAATTAAGCCCCAAATAAAAATATGTGTGTATAGTGGTTGTTAGTCCAAATAAATGAAAAACATTTAGATCTCGTCGCATCAGAAATCAATAAAAATCAGCATTTTTCCCTCCTTCCACCTTCTTTTGATTGACTTGTTCTCAATTTTTTTAAGCCAAATGAAAAATAATTTGAAAATTGCTTTATTTCTATTGGCTAACCAACCTAGCCCTTAATTTTTTGCTAATGATTGATTTGCAAGATATTAACTGTAAATAAAACGACGAGCGCAGAGGACACTGATGACTGATTACTTGAATTGCTGATTGTGAGTTTAGTTTGAGTTTAAAATTTACAGCATTCTGAAAAGGTAATGATGAAATATGGTAGGGTTTGTTTGTTTGTCAGGGGTTTTTAGCTTCATGAAGGAAGTGATAATAGTTTATCCCCAAAAGCTCGAAAATCTATCGCTTAACGATAGTGGCTGAAAGTATAATGCCAAGAAGAAATATATCAGAAAGGCTTTTTTTCTGATTTCTTTAGTTGCAACAAAACAGCATGAAGTATTTCTCACCAAAATGACACTAACTGAAAGATCTCAGAAAATTGAAATTGCACTTTAATTCAAACTAGCAGACAATATAAATAAATATTATCGTATAAGAAGTGTCTTTTTTAATTTTAAAGTCATATATCTCTGTCACTTTTATCACACTGATAATGCTAATCTATTAAAATAAATCTATTTTAGACTTCCTATTTCCACCTTATAACAGAAAGTGTATGAAATGTAAGGCAATTATCTTAATTATCATATTTGACTCACAAATTTGCTTCTACATTATTGAACTTTCAGTCAACTGTGATGCGATTATATTTAAAAGCAGATTAATAATATTAGAAAAGTGGAATTGAATGGATAGAAAAGTATGAGTGTTTTCTTAGTCTCCAGACATGTTAACTTGCTGCCTCGTTGTATTTCAGAGCGAAAAGTCCAATATTTCACAAGATTTCTATAAATCCATTCAGCTAGGCACTTTGGGGCATTTTACCTTATATGACACAAATTAGGAAAATGTCACTGTGGGAGAGAATGTCAAGTAAGGTAAAACGCAGTAAGAAAAATATTAAGTAATCAATAATAAAGCCACGAGAGTCTGCAAACCATCGGCAACCAAGCCAACTTGGCGGTAAAGTCCACTGATGGTTAGTATCACAAACTTGTTTTGTAGGATCGATGTGAAATTGTATTTGGTGTACAATAGGGCACAGAATAATGTCTTATTCAAAGTGTTATTATCAGGTTATTTTAATTATTCGGATTGTGAGTTTTTGATTTGGCGAAAAAAATAATTGATGGACTGTAAAAGACATGTGAGCGAATGAAGTTAACAAAATTTCCACAGTTGGGCGTATTCACTTCCTGAGAATGTTTACCAAAACAGCGAAGTTCGAAGTTCATTGTTTACTGTACATGTAGTCCAAGGCAAAGAAAGTTTTAGGGGAAAATTCTAAAGAAGTCGACCTTATCATTAGACTTGCTCTTTCATTTCCAAATACGTATTTTTTTTTTTTTTTTTTGGAACTATGGAAAACTTTTAGAGAATGATTCAACTGAAAATGTTTGATACTGATCAATACTGTAATTTCCAAAATCTGATTGCAATTAGATTAGATTCAAACGAAAGAATAAAAAATGGAAAAAACAAAGCATGACATTTATTATAGAAAACTTTTAATTATGCCTCGTGCTATGGATAGTCAAATCAACTGTCGTTTGTTGTTATCGTTGTCATCGTTGACAAGCGCACCAACCAGACAATTTATATCGATTTCCCCTCACAATCACATTATTGAAAAGTTTTCATTTATATGACTGTATGATTACTTTTTGGAAATTGAAAAATATCGGACATGAAAATGTAAAATCAGTTTTTGCCTGATTGAGCAAAAACTGTGTGTGATTCACGTAAAATCTTTTAAAAGCAAAATTGCATATTATAATTCACTTTTTTGATTTTTGCAATGTTAAAACTCACTGATAAATTCACAAATTCTACTGCTTGTTTCCAATGAAATAATCAACAATCATTTGTGAAAATTGGTAAATCCAATTTTATCTTTAAAAGAAAATAAATCAAGCATTTATTTTTGTCGGACAAAAATGAACATTTTCGTATTTTTGTCAAAAAAAAGAAAAAGTTGTGAACAGGCCTTTCGGACATTTTAATTAATGATTTCTTGGTACCAACACGTAAGAAATAATATGCTCGTTTCGAATTTTGCGCATTTGTATTCTTTCCATGGTTTGCTTGCGACATATGTTGCAACTGACTTAAATAATTCTGTGAAATGAAGTTAACCAAAGCAAAAAAGGTCACTTCAATTATTCAGATTATGGTTTTGAAATGTTACACTTAGGAATTCATAAAGAACACACAACATATATCTTCTAAACAATGAATTACGGAAATCTTAGGAATCTGGCTGAAATATATTAAAGTAAAGACGATAGAAACTAAGATCTAAAATAGATAAAGAGATTTATTAAATACAAGATGTCGCTGATATTGCGAGTAGAAATAAAGGAACAATTTTCTGGATATAAGATATCGGGCGTGATTTAGTCTTTTTTGTTCGTAGTGTTTTCTTTATTAATTTGTTGTATCGATGTCGCAATTGCAAGTTCGTTGTTGTATTAATAAATTTATCGTAATAAAGGTTTAATTACCCAAGTTTGAGGTACTACCAACTAAAGAGGCAGAAATAATCCTGTTTTTGTCACGGTTGAAAAAAAACGGTCACACAAGACATAGCAAATCGCCAATAGCCAAAAGAGTGGATTGATTCAAACAAAATAATTTAGTGATCTGATAGTATTAGCACACGTCAAAGGACCTTTAATTTAACGGACTTTCCTTAATTTTAATATGGATATTACTGATTAAATTTATAATTTATCGTCCAAATATGACATTAGCACAACAACAATCTCTTTAAATGTTGGTCTGTTTTTCTCAGGTCCAATGCATTCCTTCATTAAATCACCGAGCACCTGAGGCATCATTTCAGGTGGTTGTAATCGGTAACCTCCTATTACAACTTTATCATATACCTGAAAAAGTTTTCATTTGATTTCAAATATTTTCCAAAAAAACCAAAAGCAAAGAGTCATTGTCATATTTGAAAATTGTACAATGAATAAAGGTTTTTCTAAAAACCGAACTTTGTCAACCGAACATTCAAGAAGAGTAAATAGCTACTGTATGAATTGCTTATCAAATGAGAAATCCAGATTTGAATTCTTAACCTCATCTGCATCCCATTCCTTGTATGGTATGCAGTATGGTACTGTATAGCATTCATACATTGTCACACCGTAAGCATAAACATCCGTTGCTTTGTTAACGATTCCTTTGTCATATGCTTCCGGTGCTAACCAACGCAAATTCAGTGGTTTGTTAGGATCAATTTTGTAAATTTTTGTATGTCTTGTCATGCCAAAATCAGCTACCTGCAATCACAATGAATAACTGAGTGACGATCAAAATTCACGACCGTGACAGATTCGCCGAGGACCATTCAACAGTTTTTGGACTCTAAATTTCCTTTCAACACAATTATTTTAGTATTTTATTCAAATCCTTTCACCAATCAGAAGAGGATGAGCAACTTCTTAACATAAGGTGCTAAATTTCTCAAATCTACATAGAAGTCAAGATCGATAGAGACGGTCCTTCTACGCTTACTTTGACATTCTCACCAATCAATAGATTTCGACAAGCGATGTCGCGATGCAAGCATTTTTGGCGGTGTAAATATTCAAGGCCAATCGCTGCTTCTTGCAAAATCTTTGCTCGAGCTTTCGCCGCAACTTTTTCCCTTTCCTGCGAAGATATTCGTCCACTGCACCGCCGGACATAAATTCCATTACCAAATAGTAAGGCTACAAAGGATTCTTCTTATAATGTATAGACAGGACAGAAATTTCTGGAGTTTTCGGTATTACTTTTGGTCATTCTTTTTCAGACATTTATTGGATAATGCAGTCGGAACTTAACAGGTTTGTTTTCAATGAGGGATGAAGCCTAATTGTATATATATATATATGTATGGAAAATTTTAAAGAGATCCTTATGTGAGTCGAATAGCTGCATAAATTTAGCCTCAAAAAACCACTGTTATAAATAACTACTGAAATTTTCACATCTGACTTAAAGAATTTCATTAATCAAGATACAAAGTTGTATTTTGCGGAATGAACTTTTGATATACTTGCGGATAACAGTTTACGGATTTCTAGTTTATCTTGCTACTTTTGAATGTTACTATTTTTGTTCCATTTATGTTCAACACAGATTATCAGATTTTAGCCTTACGGTACCTATGAGAAACTTATGAAATGATCTTTCATTATTCCTATGAATAAACAACGTGACAAATTTTTGACATTTCCCTCGCCTGTATTCAAGATTTTTACAAACTAATCTCGTTTAACTGAAGCTTGTTAAGTGAAATTTAATGGGTTTAAATATTTTGTATAGTGAGATGAATTCATTGAGTTTCAGATAAACAAAATGGAAGATTCGCATGGCAGGAAGAGAAATAAAAAGCTGATATGCGGAGAATAAGTTCCCCCTAGAATTTATGACGGAAAAAATATTAAAAGACCAAATACCGTATAATCATTTGCTACTCCGTAGTATTTTACTACATTTGGATGGTCGTACATTCGCATTACCCTTGCTTCTCTCCACAAAGCATTACTTGCTTCAGCCGTCATTTCAGTAAGTTCTTTTACGGCTACCTGCAAAAAGCGACACTGACCAATGGCCATTCCATCGAATAGGTAAGTTGATTGGAAATCTTTTCACTAATTGATATTTGCTTGCTTCATCCTAAAAAGTTATAGCATTTAAATTTAAATATTTTCAGTTTTCAAATGTTATTAATAAAGTAAATTTACCGTTATCGATTTTTCTATACCGATAGTAAGAGTTCCCTTGTAAACAGTACCAAATGATCCGTTGCCAATTTTTTTACCTAACCTTATCATCTTGTGCTGCAATTCCCAACGTTGACGACGGATTGGTGTTTCAAGTGTCACCACAGTATCATTTGCCGTCAAGAAACGCTTTGTTACCTAAAATATTTATTAGCTCTTAATTTGAGGTACTGTAACGTGTAGCAAAGATAAAAAACAAATAAGTGAAAACTTGACAAAAGTTCAGAATCTAAAAACAATTGATTTATTATTGCAAAAAAAAAGAAACCTGATATGAATCGATTAAATCCTTTGCTTGACAAAAGTGTTTTCCTTGGAACTCATAACCGCCTTGCACACCAGGAACAATTTCACAATTGACAACTTGATTACCCCATCGAATACTCAATGTGATTTTATAGCCACGATCATGTTCCACAGCTCGCATTAAAAAGTCACCGCTATTCTATAACACATAATACATTTTAGCTTTCTCTCATTAAGTTCTCAATTAAACTCTCATTAATTTCACTCCTCTGACTAGCTGAATCATTCATGTCTCTTAAATTCAGCTCTCTGATCAGCTTTCATCTATTCTTTTCTGCTCATTCGGAAAAGTTATTCCTTTTTCAGATTTTCATTTCAGGAACATCTTTTGCTCGTTCTGACATATACCTATCGGAAAGCTGTGGCTTAACCTAATTTCCGATTTCTACACGAAGAAGATACTAAAACATATTACGACAATAGAAAATAAGGAAAAATATGTCATGATGTTTGCCGCGGACATTCATGGAATCCGCTAAGACAGTATGCATTTCCCAAATCTGATAATCAGTGGCATTTCTGTACAAAGTGTGCATCCATCTACCTATCTATCTATCTATCGTATTTTACATTGCGGATATTGCTAGATTGCTACCAGAACGATCACTTAATTTCTCTTTCACCTACTAGCAGTAACATGTTTACATTATAGCAATACTAATTCGTAATATATGGTAGATAAGCCTGACAAACAGGCTTGGCAAATAGTTAGTAATATCAGGTAAGTTGGCCGTAATATGCCAAATGCATGTGAATTAGTTTGCTCGAAGTGTTTAATTTTTCGAACAAATCGATTTGGTTTGATTTTGTACCTTTAGCAGCATTGCAGTGTCTTCATCCGGTATCATTCCGTGCCAGCAATCCATATCAACATGGTCATAAATCCCCCCCGCTTTCGACATCTTTAGATTTTGCATCTGGCTGACTCTTTTAATCGGCATATTCCTTTTGATAATCACGAGAATATGCTGAAATAGGCTCCTCGATGATTAAACACTTTTAAAAAATGTTTGAATAAATATTTCAGCTACTTTTTATTGTTCAATTCTATGCAAAAATCACGGTTGTATTGTTTCAAATTCTATTTCATCATCTAAAAATCTTCAGGCGAAGATGGAAATGCCTGAAAATTCTAGGTTACAAAGAATTTTACAAAAACTTTCATAAATTTGCAACTGTATTAATGCCTGTATTTGCAATGCATAAAAGCTATATTATGCGCCAAGCTCTAGAGCTGTCACAGCTCTGAACAAATTTTGCTGTCATTTGTAAATTATGACAATGAACATTAGGAAATCTCAACCTCATTATAAAAGTTGCAGTACACGAGTGCTATTTCTTCATTTTAGATTATCATTCAGCAAATCAAGTTTGGATTTTCTTAGTATCCCGGTCGTTTGATCTGATCCACATAGGGTCATTAGAAGCTAATTTGTAGAGATGAAATCTCTTCAGTGAAATCCAATCAGAGATTTAACCTGACAACTTTCAATTAATTAAAAGAAGTGAGAAGGCCACCTTATCATAGATAATTAGCAATTTTTTTGATGAATGTCTATGTTAAATTTTCCTAATTTGTATTATTCATTTGCTACATCTCTCATTCCTTGCAACCGATGCATGGTTTTCAAAGAGATAATCTTCAGGATATGTTAAAAGACATCGCAGGAGTTTCGTGCAAAAAGGTACTTCTGAAGAACGTCCGTGTTCAGCGGAACGATTTTCAACAAATTGGGGTAGGGCTAAAACATCGGCGACAGTTGATTCACGGAAAAATGCTCTAAATCTGTAATAAAACAAAAAAAAGAAAAAAAAGATAAAAAAAAAGATATGATTATATTGAAACAAATGGTGGTCCACTGTTAATTTTTTATTTTTTATTTAAAAAAACTTTAATATGTTACTTATCCATAAATTTTATTAGCATTGTTAGTTGATTTTTTAAATATATTTGTATATTCATTAATGACATGGTGAATTTTTAAATCACTGTCATTTCAGAACATGAAAATGAGAAAAATTGAAATTTTCCTTTCCATGAAGAGTTCATTTCATCTCTTTTTTGAAATATGCAAATCACTAAAGAGCTTTCCATCTCTCGTCTTATGTATGAAATGAATGAATGAAATGGATTTTCTTTTTCAGAACGGCATATACGCTTTATCATTTTATGATTGATGTGTATAAAATTTTAAAATTTTCGCTTTTTTTTTCTTCTATTACCACTAAATTGAATCCTGAACGGTTTATTTTATTGAATAGCTTTAAGGTGCACAGAGTTAATCTGTCGGATATTATGAATGTATTGTCATTTGGCATTTATGAAATTTTTTTTGTTATTAGCAGAACAGAAATTGCTGAAACGAGAGTATGGTTAAGTAGTTATTGTCACAGCTGATAAGCATATCACATCATGGGTCATTTGGATCATTCGAAGTTTTTTTTCTATTATTGATAGGATATTTTTTCTCAAAGGATACTGTTTCGTTTTTAAACCTGGAAATAGTTAATATTTGGAGGTGATTTACAAAAGTAGAAATTTCCTGAAAAGCCACAGGACGGTAAACTTATGAAGATACTGTGAAGAGAAAAGGTAATTGAGGAGGACAAGAATGAATAAATATCTTTGTTAGCTAATTAATTGGTGGATTATATAGCCATGGAAATGAAACTTTCGCCACTTATATTTTCCAAGTCTTACCATCTTTTGAGATAAATTTGTTGTAGACATAATAAAATAACCAGCTAAACAAGCGCAAATTAATTATTTGATCAGTAAGTATGCGAAATTTGTGGAATTAAAGCAACAAAAAATAAAGTAAGATTTGAGAGAACTGAATACAGAAGAGTGAGGAGATAGTATTGTTTCATCTATCTGTTTATAAATGATTAGATTTCCTTTTTTTTTTTTGCTTCGATAAAAAGACAACGACTTAGTGATCAGCAAAAATGACCGAGGAAACTCGGGAACACTGGTAAAAGGGAAGATTAATAATAATTATTCCCATATGTATACAAAAATACATCAATTACATGTGATAGAAGCCTAAAATAATTCCTTCTCACCATTCTTAATAGTCATCATTAATAATATTTTTGAGGACATCAAGAGTCAAATCAGGACATTCATCAAACCTATCATCTCCTTTTCCTCCTTTCTCATCAATACGAACATCATCATCCCCCTTCTCTTCCTTCTTCGCCTTTTCCTCCTCTATCACCACCATCTCTTCCTCACATTCCTTCTTCTCTTTCTGTTTGTTCTCCTATTTGTCCTTCTTTCTACTTCTTTCGTTTCCCTTTTCTGGCATTCCTTCAGGTTCTACACTCCTTTTTGAAGTACTTTATTAAAGGTACAAAAGTAGCATTTGAAATGAAAAGAAAAAGATGCTTAAATGCAACGATTTCAATTGAGATTTGATTGACAATATTGATTAGTTCAAGTAAGGCATAGATATGAAATGAAATGAATTCAAATAATAATAGGAATTGCATACAATCAATGAATTGGCAAAAAGAAATAGAATAGAATAATTGGTCAGTCATTTTTCGACATGATGCTGCTCATATTTTTCAAGTATATTTAATACATTTAGCATCTAAAAAAAATTAATTTTGATTTTAATTAATTTGAAAAATGTTTTGACTTGTTCACAGTGAAAAAAAATCCAAACACATTGAGATGACAGTAAAAAATGGTCTCTTTATTTATCAAATTGAACTGTCTATTTTACATATTTGACATCTATTCATATTTTTTGATATCTTCTGATGATATCCATCATCAACCGGTTCTGGTCGATAATCCTGCATAGCATTTGTTTTTGAATAACTAGAAAGTGATGTGAAACCTGATAATTCACTGATTACATATAATCATTACAAAATTAATTGCACATTTTAAATGCCTTCGTTTTCAATGTTTCAAACATTTTAAATGTTTTAAATGTCTCAATATATTTATTCTATTGCATTGCTTCTAATTACTAAAAACCAAATGCAATGCAACATTATCGATTACATCCGATCAATAATAAACTTTATCAGAAAGCGTTCATAACATAAATTAATTTTATAAGGATTAAATGTAATCAGTGAATTATCATTGTATCATCGACCATATCCGATGGACAATAGGTATCATCGGGAGGCACTCATAACGCACAACTAATTTTGTATCAAGTAAATAAAATCATCGAATTGTGGTTTTATCATTCAAGTGTTACATTAATTTCTACTTTTTTTCTTTTTTTTTATTCCACTGCTTCTAGTTACCCATAAGTAATTGCATTGTAACTTTATCGATCATACCCCATTGATAACAAATATATATCAGAAGACATAACGCACAATTTTTGTTCTATTTAAATGTAATTAGTGAATTATCATTTTGTTATCCAATTTAAACTCTAATTTATTTTTTTTTGATTCTGCTACGTTTAATTACTCAAAAGCAACTAAACTGCAACTTTATCGATCGTATCCGATCGATAACAGGTATTGTAGGAAAAAACCGGAATAGCTGTATCATAGAATCATTCATTCAAATAGATCGCATTTACACTTTTTTTTTTCTCTCATGCCCAAAATCATGAGTCAGCTGTCTAATCTACTAAAAGTGCTTTTTTTGATGTTAAGATTTGTGCATATTTGATAGCTAATTCGTAAAGGCTTTATCCCATGCAAAAAAATCTTGATACAATGGTGAGAAAGTTGTACATCAGATAAAATAATTTCTATGCAATTTTTTCTAAAGAAAACTGTTCTTATATGTAAATTTCTCTTGCACCTGTGAGAATACTGTCAATATGTAATGATTGTTCCTCTTCACACATCCCATATAAATCCTAAGAATCTCTAACAAGATTCAATGTTAATTTTCTCCCCCTCGCCACTCAACTCTATTCAATACAGTCCTGATTTATTTCCTCTCCGTTTGCGAATTTTTACTTCAATATTTCTCCCGTTATTCTACGTTGTTAAGTTGGACTTTATTATAGTATAATCGGAATTACTTCTAACCTATTTTTATTGTATTTGTTATTTGAACAACAATAAAGGATAACTATTATATTCCTCGAACACGTAACCAATCAGTATTCAGTAAGTCATTTTTTTATAAAACATAATTGCTTTGTTACTAACAAGAACAGTAATCCTCATCTTCTAATTCTCTTAATTTTTTTTCATGACAGGTATTATCAAAAAATTAGTGTGCAATTAATTTTGTAATAATTGAATATAACCATGAATTATCATTTTTTTCCTCCAAACTTCGCATTAATTTCAATATTTTTTATTGTACTGCTTCTAGTTACTCAAAATTAATTGCATTGCAACGTTATCGTTCATATCCGATCGATAACAGATATTGTCAGACGACATTTGTAAAACACAATAAATTTTCTTGTGATTAAATATAATCAATGAATTATTATTTTATCATCCAATTTCACTTCAGTTTTTATCTTGCTTTCATTATTCTGCTTCTAGTTACTCAAAACCAAGTGCACTGTAACATTATCGATTAAATCCGATCGATAATAGATATTATCAGGAGACATTTGCAATATAGAAATAATTTTGAAAAAATTAAACATAGTCACTTTATTATCATTTCATCAGTTAAGTTTTACATCAAATTATACATTTTTTTAATTGTATTGGTTCTACTTACTCAGAAGTAATTGTATTGCAACGCCATTTCATCACTAATTTACAGCAGTGATACTTACTTGCAAGTTTTCTGTATATGATCTGCAAGTTACCTGCTTGTTATGTAACATGAATAATAAAAAGTCTATTTATTAGGAGTGCGATGACACGATATAGAGAACTTTATTCACTAAAATAAAAAAAGAACGATACTAATATGCTTATGAAGCAAAAAATGAATAACTTATACGCAAATAACAACAATGATAACAGCAAGAGACTGTTAGCAATAAAATAATGAGCAAGTAACAAGAATTTATCTAACAGGAAATACATATATACAATCAAACACACCAGAAATAACGGTGTCTTTTTCAACTTAAAATGTCCTCCCCAGCTTCTTTTATGACTCTTCTTGTGTGATTTCAATGAGTTATAATTCAAGAAACCCTTACTGCATATAGTACAATTGAAGATTGGCCTATTTTTGTTTGTATTGTTGCGTGACTTCGTAAGCTACCTTTTGTTTTGAAACTTTTCTGGCATATCGAACAACTGTACGATTTCATATCGGTATGAGTCTCTATATGGTTGATCATACTGCATAATTGGGCAAAACTTCTGCCTCATTTTTGACAACTGTACGGTTTTTCACCAGTATGAGTCCTCATATGGGTTTTCACATCGCATAATTGGGAGAAATTTCTGCCACACTTTCCGATAACTGTATGGTTTTTCACTACTATGAGTCCTCATATGGATATTTTTAAAAGATGGTCGAGAGGAAGATCTGTTGCATATTTGACATCAGTATAAGTTTTCATATGAATTTCCATGTTGGGTAATTGAGAGAAATTTCTGTTGTATATTCGACTACTGTGTGGTTTTTCATCAGTATGAGTCTTGATATGGGCTTCCACAGTGAGTAATTTAGAGAAAAAAGTTGCCCTGTTGCGTATTTGACAGCTGTACAACTTCATACTCGTTTGAGTCCTCACATGGGCTTCCACAGTGGATAATTTAGAGAGAAAAATGTTTTGTTGCGTATTTGACAAAAACATATGTTATTACAGGCATAAATCGTCCCACCTTTTTTCGAATTTGTTTCTTCCTCTTTGCATACTTTATACTGTGATTCATTCCTTTTTCTGGTACTTTCTTGTACAACGCTCTCCTTTTCGACTGTTAAATTCATGAATTCTCTATATCTTTTAGACCCTTCGTTGGCTAATACCCACCATCTTCCTATTCCTCCACTTACTCCTTGCACTGGCAAATCTATTGGTACATTCCGTTCCTCAGTCACTTTTGGCACTGGTAAATCCAACAGTTCCGTTTGCTCCGTCTGCGCTTCTTCAAATAATATGAAATTGTCTATCTCACATTTTATTAAGATTTCGAAGTTTTGGAAATATTGCAGTACTATATTGCATTTTTCAACTTTAAATAAACTTACAGTAATTTGAATGTTGCTCAATTGGAAGAAGAAAAAGGCGAAATAGATAAAATGCATTTTGAAGAGAATGATTTTTTGCCAATTCTGAAAAATATTCAAATTTACTAATGCACTGGATAACACAGTCTGCTGTTTGAAAATTGCGTAAAGATCCAGTAAATGCTTTTTTAAATGAATCAGCGTTGTAAAAGAGAATAGTCGCACATTAATTGCAAATAGAATATGGTGGGACATCTCTCATTCAAACAACTAACATAACAAGTTTACTGGATCTTTATGATCACGTTGGAAATGAGTTGCAAATGTGCCAAAGTAATGTTTGCGCAAGCTTTATCCATACAAATTTGATTGGAAGATAACTTTGTTTTGAATAAAGTAATTGTTTCCACGTTTACTGGAAATTTCAAAATCTTTCTCATGACGCGAAACTTTGGAAAGCAACTGATATTCTCTATCGAAATAAATAAAGTAGAACTTACCGAGTGAAATCCGTGGAAGAACATTCGATATAGACGACTAGTCACTTCTGTTGGATATTGCGAAAGTTTTATTTGTCGCGAATTTCAATATCGCGAAATTCCAAATAAATAATAAAATAAATTCCTTATTCAAATCGTAAATGAATGTTAACAACATTTACATAATTTTTCTCTCATGCTTAAAATCATGAGTCAGCCATCCAATCTACTAAAAGAAATTTTTCCTTTGATGTTGAGATTTGTGCACATATGGTAACTGATTTGTAAAGACTTTTATCCCATACAAAATCCTTTATACAATGGTGAGAAAGTTGTACATCAGATGAAATAATTTTTATGCAATTTTTTGTAAAGAAAACTGTTCTTATATGTAAATTTCTCTTGCACCCGTGAGAATACTGGATATATAATGATTGCTCCTCTTGACACACCCGATATATAAACCCTAAGAATCTCTAACAAGGTTAATGTTAATGAAAATTTTTCTCAACGTCGAAACTCAACGCTACTCAATACAATCCGGACTTATTTCCTCTCTACTTTTTCGAATCTTTACTTCAATATTTCTCCCGTTATTCTATGTTATTACTTAAACTTCATTGTACTATAATCGGAATTACTTCTAACCTGGTTTTGTTGTATTTGTTATTGCACAACAATAAAGGATAACTATTATATTCCTCGAACACATAACCAATCGGTACTCAGTAAGTCACAATTTTTATAAAAAATAACTGCTTTACTACTAATAAAAACAGATACCTCATCTCACTCTTCAAAAATCTTCCACGACATTATTTGTATAAATGCTTATCATCGTACCTCACCTCGGGCACCAAAAATTTTGTAGCGAATATTGTTCGGGTTCGTTTGAGAGGGTGATGTCGAAGACCACTATTGCCAGCGATATAACGCGAGATGTCGTAGCGTTAAGCTGAATTGAGTTGATGCAAATACGATGATTTGAGTTGAGTTGTACACGCACCAGA